CCATATATGGTGTTTATTTCTCCCCCAACCGGAGTTTGAACGACTTCGAGGTTTTCCTAACCAGCTTGGAGACCTCGATACGGCGACTAGCGTCTGGGCACGTCCTTGTGCTGGGGGACTTCAACGCAAAGTCCATTGCGTGGGGTTCCCCCAGGACGGACGCAAGGGGCGAGGCCGTAGAGGAGTGGGCGGCCTCGGTGGGCCTCTGTCTTCTAAACAGAGGCTCCACCAACACGTGCGTGCGACAGCAGGGGGGGTCGATAGTGGACCTCTCGTTCGCTACCCCTGCCCTCGCCGCACGAGTAAGGAACTGGTGTGTCCTGGAAGAGGTTGAGACGCTCTCGGATCACCTGTATATCCGATTTGAGCTCTCCCGGACCCAGGACTCCAGTAGGGGTCACGTGGCGCGGCGTTTATCCCGCTTTCCGCGGTGGGCTGTTGCCAGACTGAACCGGGACCTACTTGAGGAGGCAGCCATAATTCACTCGTGGCTGTCTCCTCAGGCTCCGACCGAGGAGGTCGACGTGGGGGCTGGCCGCTTTCGCGATGCGATTACGCATATCTGCGATGCGGCCATGCCCCGCATTCGAGGTCGTCGGCCTCCAAGGAAGGAGGTCTACTGGTGGTCCCAGGAGCTGGCGGACCTCCGTGCGGCCTGTACACGTGCCCGGAGGTCCTACACACGCAGTCGGCGGCGTCACCGTGGAGACGGTGAGGAGGACCGGCTTCATGAGGAGTACCGGCGGGCGCGGAAAACTCTGAAGCTGGCCATTAGCCGCGCCAAAGAGGAAAAGAGACAGGAGATGCTGGAGGGTCTTAATCGTGACCCCTGGGGTCGCCCTTACCGCGCGGTGCGACAAAAGCTCCGCGCGTCGGGCCCCCCCCTTACGGAGACTCTCCAGCCCAGCTTCCTGCAGGAAGTGGTCGAGGGCCTATTCCCGCAGCGGGCGGAGCACACACCCCCGTCGATGGCTGCATCAGCCGGAGACGACGGGGGCAGCGAGGTCGATGTTCCGCCCGTCAGGGAATCGGAGTTGGGGGCGGCTGTTCTACGGATTCGATCCAAGAACACCGCCCCCGGGCCGGACGGGGTTCCAGCCCGAGTGATGGCCCGAGCCCTCGACTACATGTCGGACCACCTCAGGGGGGTGTTGGACGCTAGCCTGGCGTCCGGACGCTTCCCTGAGCGCTGGAAATGCGGGAAGCTGGTCCTGCTGCAGAAGCCGGGACGGCCTGCCGATTCGGTCGCGGCCTATAGGCCCATCGTGCTGCTGGACGAGGCGGGCAAATTGTTTGAGAGGGTTCTTTCTGCCCGCATCGTCCGGCACCTCTGCGAGGTGGGCCCCGATCTGTCGGATGCCCAATTTGGTTTTCGGGCGGGGCGTTCGACAGTCGACGCCGTGTTGCGCCTGAGGGCCGTGACCGAAGAGGCAGTGAGCTGTGGCGGCGTGCTGTTGGCGGTGTCATTAGACATCGCCAACGCATTCAATAGTCTGCCATTCAGCTGCATCAGGGAAGCACTCCACTATCATGGGGTGCCAAAGTACCTGAGGCGGCTAGTGGCAGACTACTTAGAGGAGCGTACCGTCGTGTACGAGGACCGAGAAGGTAATTTGAGGAGTCGGCCCATGTCGTGCGGTGTTCCACAGGGGTCTGTTCTTGGACCCCTCTTGTGGAACATAGGGTACGACTGGGCCCTTCGCGCCGATTTCCCCCCCGGGCTGGGTGTAATCTGTTACGCAGACGATACCCTCGTGACAGCCCGGGGGGCAAACTTCCAAGAGGCGGCGCGCCTGGCCACAGGGGGAGTCTCCCTGGTGGTCGGGCGCATTGAGGCGCTGGGCTTACGGGTGGCCCTAGATAAGACGGAGGCCCTGTTATTTCATGGGCCCCGTCGTGGTCCACCCCCTGGCGCCTCAATCGTGGTCAACTCGGTCCTCGTACCGGTTCGGGCCCAGATGAAATATCTGGGCCTGATCCTCGACGGGAGGTGGCTCTTCGACGAGCACTTCCGACAGCTTGCTCCAAAGCTGGTCGGCGCTGCGTCTGCCCTAGGGCGACTTTTGCCCAATATGGGTGGACCCAGCGTCGCGACAAGACGGCTGTACACGGGGGTTGTCCGGTCAATGGCGCTGTACGGTGCACCGGTGTGGGCGGCGGCTCTGACCGCCCAGAATAGGGTACGCCTCTGGCGCCCTCAGAGGGTAATGGCGGTCAGAGCCATACGCGGTTACCGCACCGTTTCTACGGAGGTGGCATGCGCGTTGGCCGGAACTCCCCCGTGGGATTTGGAGGCGGAAGTGCTCGCCGAAGTTTATCGGCGAGTGGCTGACTACCGGGCGGAGAGCGGATTTCGCCCTCCGCCCGAGGATGTGCGCGAGTGGCGCGAAGCCGCTCGCCGAGCCACGATGGCTCGTTGGTCGTTCCGGCTGGAGACTCCACGCGCTGGCTTCGCCGCCGTGGAGGCTCTCCAGCCGGTCATCGCCGAGTGGGCAGGGCGGCAGCACGGGACCCTTTCCTTCCGACTGACGCAGGTGCTTTCCGGGCACGGTTGCTTCGGAAAGTACCTGCACACGGTCGCTAGGAGGGAACTGAGTCCCGCCTGCCACCACTGCGACTGCAGTGAGGACTCGGCCCAGCACACGCTGGCGGTCTGCCCCGCATGGGCGGCGCAGCGCCGGGCCCTCACTGCAGTCATCGGAGTGGATCTCTCGCTACCGGCCGTAGTACGCTCCATGGCCGGTAGCGACAGTTGTTTTACCGCGGTCGCAACCTTCTGCGAGGTAGTAATCTCGCGGAAGGAGGCGGCGGAAAGGGCCCGGGAGGACGACCTCCACTCGGACCCGATCCGCCGCCGGCGAACCGGGCGGCGGAGGCCCGCCTACCACAGCCTCATGCCGCCCTGAGTGTGGCCGCGGGTGGACGGGGTGGGTTTCCCCTCCACCCGCATTAGTTGGCCAGCCGCGAGGGGGCGGCGTCCGCGTGTGCCGGACGTCGCCTAAAGAGAGGAACAACAACAGTGAGACGGAGCCCGCACCAGGAGCGGGCTGGCGCTAGGAGGGGTCCGGATGTCTTAACAACAGCTGTTCCCGGATCCCTCCTGTTACAGGCGCAGAGTGGCACACCGTGTGGTTTTAGTCGGTCCGAGTCCGACACACCACCCCGCCGCAAACCCCGGAGGGGTGACGGTCCGAGGGGATTTCCACACGTTAAAAAAAAAAAAAAAAAAAAAAAGGGTTTGTTTCAAGTTTTCCTTCTTTTTACAGTGCAATGGTTGGGCCTCCGAAGACCTCACTGGCTCAATAAAATGCAACGTAAGCATGGCTTTCTTACTTTCTAACACCGGTTTTCTTTGAGAACTTAGGAGAGTGTCGCTCTTTGAGTGCAAGTGCAAGGGCGGAGTGGGGTCCCAGTACATTTTATAATAGCTATCTGCACTACAGTGCTATGTCCTGTATTAACCATCATTTAATGCCTAGCTTACAAGTGTGCCGAGGCTTGGCAAACGTCTACAAGCGCCAAGAAAATATTCGCGCCATAAGGCGCCAAGCCTTTGCCGCAAGCGTCCTTTGATCTGTGTTCATAATCCGACACTAGTCCCGATCGACGACAAGCTCACGCAAGCCGAGCCAAACACCCCGTTTACATGCTTGTGTTTGAGGACACTTTGTCTTGTCGAGGCTTGCCAAGCATGTAAGCAGCCTATAAAGGCTTGAAGCTTGTGGCCGTTTGCCAAACCTTGGCATGCATGTAATCGAGGCATTATATTTTTAACATAACATTATTTTTGTATTTAATCGATGTTATTTTTGATACACAGAATCCAAAGTGTGAGGTACTTTTTATACCAGGTATACCAAAGAAAATCTCCACACTATTTTTTTGGAAATTAAACTTTATGTTTAGTATTACTATTTTATTTTCAGATATAATGATGAAAAGTAAAAATCTAGTAGTAAAGAAAATCTTATCTGAATTTTTAGACTGATCGACTAGGATTAATGATGTATATAGTTTTTATTTTACTTTAACTTTATCAAATACAATAAGTTCTCCTATCACCCGTTTATGATGACTTTAAAGAAAAAGAAACGTTTGTTTCCTTTCCTTTAACGTTTCCTTCAACAATATTAATTTAAACTATTTTGACATAACAATAAGAAATACAAATGTCAAAAATATGTACCATTTTATACCAATAAATGTTTATATTGTTAATATGCCAAAAAATTGCGTAAATTGTGGCTCGTAACAGATTAGCTTAAAAGGCCGAAAACCATCGCAGTTTAAGTGTGTCTACGGATATATGTATCCCACACATTTTCTCTCGGTTGTCTATGCTATAATTCATCGGAAGTCAGACAGGAGATGCACCAACTTGCAATTATGTGTAAGATTTTTAGAGGGAAGATGATGCACCATACCTACATGATGAGTTGTGTCGATTTTTTGTGCCCAATAACCTTCGCAACAGGGCATATATATTGTTTGCCGTATTATCATGTCGCATCGTGGCGCGCGCTAAGTCACTCATACCGCGCACTTAACGCTCTCCAATAAATATGTACGCATGCTAATCCCGACTGTGATTTGTTTGCTGATGGATGGCCGAATATGATGTCAGTAGGCTTGAGATTCTGTGAGCAGGAGGGATGATTTGTATTTTTTATTTATATTTTATCTTTGTTTTCATTTGTGTTTTATGTCTTTAATTATTTTAATTGGTAAAATCTATATAATTAAAGTAAAAAAAAAAACATCAGTCGTCGGTCGGTCACTAGTACTTATTTTAGAATATTGTAAGAGCTGTTTTACTGTCAAGAGAAAATTCTACTTAAGAGATCCTGCCACCCGTCAGTCACCTGGCACCGAAACAAATTAAAGGTAAAAGTAACAAAAACATGGGGTAGCAAAAGACATATAGTATACTTAAAACTACTTTATTGCAAATAAACTGGTAACATTAAATTCAAGTAAGATGCCCAGTTGCCGTAGCGAAGTTAGGGATTGTTATCTGAAAGGATAATATTTTTAGTTAAAAAACTAAACAAAATATTCTCATTTTTTATTGTGAACCAATGTTTTACGCATTATTAACCGACTTCAAAAAAAGGAGGAGGTTCTCAATTCGACTTTTTTTTTTATGTTTGTTACCTCAGAACTTTTGACTAGGTGAACCGATTTTGATGATTCTTTTATTCAAACTACTACTGCTGTTGTTTATACCTAGTAGACGTTTTTAAATCTTCGGCATTTTTCTTAGAAATAGTTTTATACTTTAGCATCACACCTTCTCTGATTTTTTTTTATTATTATTAAGTGATACAAGACATAAGAAAAAACATTAAAACTTACATCTGCTGGGTCTGCCATACTGTACATATTCGGGTCTAATATCAGGTTTTTGATAACCTAAAAGATAATAATAAGTTAAGTACATAAATAATCAAAATAAATAATATCAATTTAATTGATGAGATTACATAAAGTAGTCAAGGGTGACATCCATCCATGAAACAAATGACGCCGTTAAATTCTTCAAATATATTATAACTGTCGTGGCCAGATCATAGAATTGAACAGTTCGTGATCTGATCGCACATTTACGTCTGTGAAATATCCGTATTTCATAATATGGTCAGTGGTTGTTGTGTTGTCAGTCAGTCTGATGATATATCAATTCACGTTTGGTCATATCATTAATCTAGGGCAGGGTAGGCGAACCTTTATGCATCAACGTGCCATTTTTTCTAAAAAATGTTTAATGGGGTCATTGACGTGCCATCAAATAATTTTGACTTTCTGATTATTTTTTCATTTTGATAGGCTGATGATGATAATGATTATTTGGAAAATAACAATAATAAATACTATCAAAACTCTTTATTAAATAAAGTAAACAAAAGAGGTACATTTTGAAACGGTTTGTAACCGAGTTTTTAATGTTATACATCTCTGAAAATAATGACTCACAGGCATAGGTAGATGAAAACATTGATAAAATAGCATGAGCCCGCTTCTTCAAACAGTTAAATGTGTCTGGTAACGCATTCCATGTTTCCAGAATTTTATTATTAGCAGTTTTACTTAAATTACTTGTCAATCTTTCAGTTTCAATTAATTCCAACTCTTTCCTTGTTTCAATAAATTTTTGAATCCATATTGAACTAGATTGGAAATCAATCAACTGCATTTCAAATTCTTCAATTTCCAACCAATCGAATTGAGAGAAGTTCAGTTTATGAAATGACGTCACAATAGGGTACATAATAAATTTGAGTATTTCCTACAATTCTTTGAACTGAGAAAATCTCCCTGAAAATTATTTAATTAAAGAATCGATTACAGAAATAAATTCTTCAGTAAATTATTCTTTGTCTGCTGTCTCGTGAATGTCAAAATCAATTATATATTTTTTCAAGTTTGAAAAATACTTGTAGTTTCTTGTGATTATATCGTTTCTGATGCTTGCAGGTTAGCCTCAACCGAACACTCCGTAGCGTAGGTTCGATCGTCATAAAATACCTACTTAACACATTTTTTACACATATTTTATGATCGGCGACGTGCCCAAAATATTGTGTCGCGTGCCATCAACGGCACGCGTGCCATTGGTTTGCCTACCCTGATCTAGGGTATCCGTGATATAGTAGATTTAATAAAATTTTAAATAAACATTGAACTTACTCTGATAAGTTGTTGTAACCACAGTTCTTGACAGATTTTTGTTAAACTTGTACAATCACTAATTATTGACTTAATCAGAAAGTTATCATGCATTAAACTGGTTGTATTGTCAAACGTTGATAATTCATTGAGTTAAACAAAAGATCAATGGATCTGATCATCAAACCCTATCGTGATGTGACTGGCCATTTCGTAAATTACGTACATTTCATGAAATGGAATCAATCATGGAATGATCCATTCTATGATTTGGCCACGACGTACTAATTATATGTATGTACAGATAATTAGACATTTCAAAAACATTGTAAGAATAGTCAGGATTAGACAATACACAATTATAGTTACAGTAAACTTACCACCCTGATTGCCACCCGCGAAGAATTCGTCAGCTGGAAATAGCATTAATATATTTAGTAGTAAGTCATATGTAGGTATATTTGAGTTCTCATATTGTATGATTTATTGTTTAAATTGATTAGGAGATTATTTGTATGAGTATACGCCACCTTTCTTTTTTTCTTACTGTTATAAGTTGTTACATTTAGACAATTGTAATAAATTGATAATGCATTAAATAAATGATCTTAAATTTCAACAAACACAAGACGCATAAATTAAAACTTCAAAATATCAATCTTTACATTAAATGCTTTTATAATATCTGCCGGGTAGCTACTTACGGACGAAGTTGGGAGCTGAAACAAAAAAAAATGTTTTAATAACAAAACATAAAAAAAATAGAATCTATGATGATATCACATTTTTAGAAATAAATCAAATCAATTTACATTTTAAATATTTAGTAAGCCTATCCGATGTCAAAACTACCAACTGACACTGGTATATTTTTTTAATAAACTTTATTCACATTTAAGTTACATTTTTTTACAATGTCTCTCTATTCGCCAACCTGTTTTAACAGTTTGTAGTTTGTATTGTTAAACACAGATTAGTTTAAGTAAGACCAAGATTAGTTTTAAAATACTTATAATAATGTATACTCACTAGGGGCCTGGGCACCTCCCGCAAAAAACGGGTCAGCTAGAAGTGATGATATTAAATTAGATTATGTCACACATACGAGTAACTTATGCCTACTCGTATATCCCTTAAAGGCTATTCGCATTTCGTCAATTTTAATTTAGTAACACTCACATAAAGCTAACAGCTAACCAGATACTTTGAAAGTTAAAAAAAGGAATATTAGGCAATTGAGACTTAAAAGTAGAAAATGAAGAAATATTCTTCCTGGGTATACTTTTGCTCTAATCTTAGATTTCATTTATAAGACATCAAAATAAAAATTGGTGGACGTCTAAGAGTTTCGATAGGGTCGTTGTATGTCATCAGCTGTGCATCAGCAACTGCAGTTTAGCATTTTGAGAAAATTTTACTGTTACGGAAACAAGAGATACAAAACTTAACTTGACAAAATTAATTTTATGACATGCTATACCTATATATGGGGTCAAAATTCAAAACGTTTATGTTTTTCTGTATTCTTCTTGTATCTTGTAACAAGCTTTGAACATTAAGAACTCAGTGAAAGTTAGAAGAAATAGTGGACACTGTGCCAACGCCCAACACTGAGATTGTAAAATACATATGTAGTATTTCTTCCATAACTTAAATACAATAACAACAATAAGAATGACAATACTTACGAATAATGTTGATTTCTGTAACAAAAAAAGGCTTTTCAGTTTTTTTTGTAGTTAAGAAATAATAATAATAATTTATGTACTAAAATAATTTTAAAAAATTATCTTCTAATCCAAGCATTCGGTATGCTAATTTATACTTGCGGCTTAAGGGGGGAAACCAGTTTAGACCGATCAAAAAAAAGACTTTTCATTGCATAAATTGTTAGTATAATATATAGTATAAATAGTATGGTTAGCATAATTGTTAGTAACTACTCAAGAATATGTGGTCAAAATTTGAAAGCAAAATTCGCATTAGCTCCGACGCTATGAGCACTTAAGTGACCGCCCATCGGATCGGCGCCGAAGCTACATTTTATTTCAAACGCGTTTTTCTCGACTTTTTTTCACTGGTGGGCTATTCTAGCTTAAAAAGTTATTGACCAATCGTTCTGAAATTTGTTGTAAATATGCTTTATCCGATTCCAATCCGTTTGAACCTAATTCTGGGATTATATTATTATTAAAAATGTATTTTTTTATGCAAAAAAGGTGAAAGAATATGGTGTAAAAACATGACATTGTGTTCGAACACCTCAAAAACATTCAATTTTAAATTTTATGATCACAATTAAGTTCATATTCTTAGAAAATATGTTGTTAAAAAAATATTGTGATGATAGCAGATAAAAATTGCGACTTCAGGAATGCCCACCAGCAAAATACTGATGGCAAACGTCCATGGACAACACGTTCTAACGCCAATATTTCCGGCGGAAATTACTTGAAAAAATTCTAAAGTGTGCTTAAAAACATGAATAAAATACCCTCTAAGTTTAAACCATTTCTGATTATTCCTTCCCTGTTTAAAGTGTCCCCCTTGCAGTTTCATTGCAACTGATTTTAAACCTTTATTAAAAACCATAAAATTACTCACCGTCTGTATTTGCTCCATCTGCTACTTGCACTGAAAATATACGAAACATAAATTTAAAAGAAGTTGAACAATATTACCTAATTAGTATATTAAATATCTACAGGTATAATCATCTGCCATTACTTGAATAATAGTATAAAAAGCGCACAATCAATTCAAGTTACATAATTAATTTTTTTTTTATCATCCGAGTAACTTCATTTTAATTATGTATAAATTCCTAAGAGAGCTTATGGATGCCAATTGTAAGAGACAAACAATGCAAGATAATTATTATCCATTGCCATTATATTTTACAGTACTTGTAATACTGTTTCCGGATTTAATCAAAGGTTGTATTATATGAGATATACTTGCAATTTATATCTCATATATACAACCTTTATCTTTTCTCATATATAAAATGTCAATATTTTAAGCATTTTAAGCATTACCGTGATCTGCGCTCGCCAAGGCCAAAAGCGCCAACGCCACAATCTGTGAAATGATAGATTATGATTATATTAGATGATTATACTGCATTACACTGCACGTACTATTATATATTTACATATCACATATACATACTAGTCGTTTTCAAAGTACTTGTGAATCAAAACTATTTGAAATAGCTATGAATTAATTATTATCTATCTTTTTGTGATAAGATAAGATATATGTATATAATATGTTTCACATGAATGTAACCTCAGATGTCCATCATGTATAAACCGATTTGGAAACCCTTTTTTCTGGAAGACGATATTTCCCGTTTGGTTTCAAAATGAAAACTGCTGAAAAAATACAATTTCTTACATTAACGAATGAAGAATATATTTTACTACAATACATTATGGTGTAGGCACATCGAAATCAGTGAAACTGTTTCTAAAAGTGATTATTTCTTTTGAGATGTGTTTCACTATATGAATCAGTATTGCATTTTATTGAGTTCCCTCATCCTGTCTGTCAATCTTTGTAAGTATGTATTATTACAACTGACTATCAGGCTAAATGTACTTGCATGTGCTCCTTCAAGAAAATGATTCATTCTTTCTTTTGTATAACGGTTATGACATGAATTATGAATCAACGTTTGTTTCTGCTCGACATAGGCCTCTCCTTAGAAAGCAAGTTTTGACCTACTATATCACGTTGGCCAGACGGGTTGGTACAGGGTTTGTTTCAAGATTTTCTTCTCTTTACAGTGCTGTTGTCCTGCAGATAGGTTGCTCCCTTAGTTGACTCTTACGAAACCCACGGCATGAATAGTGGTTGTGACACTCTATATTCTAAATAGTTCCGTCAACAATTTATATAGATGTATTTTATTCACGTATAACTAAGGAAACTTCATCATTTTCATTCAATGGTCAAACATACAAATTTAAGTTAACATAAACCAAAAGTGTGTCAAGTGGTTCGGTAAACAAAAGGTTTCTAAGTGCACCTACCTGTAGCTCTCATTTAAATGATATAACATTTATCTGAATAGACAACTTATGTGGAGTAAAATAAGGAACAAAAATCTCTCATAAGAATAAAAGGCTATTGAAAAGATATTCAAAAAATCTTAATATTTAGGTACTTGCCACATTTTAGGAGTTTTAATAAAACTATTCTTTAATTAAAAATATAATAAAACAAATCTAAAGTGGTTATCATACAATGGTTTTAAAATAATTTCTTAGATTTTAGAAACAATAAAGACTGAGAGGAGTTTAATTAATCATCAAATTCATTATCACCAAATCAAATTTAATAAAGCCTAGGTAAATAATTAGTAGCTAATGCCAGGTACAGTCAAGTTTCTTACTTACCAAAATTACCTTCATTTTATATGATGTTATCACAGATGAACAACGTATTAGTACAAAAACAGAAAAGTGATTGAACAAAAATTCAAGTTCCGAATCTTATATTCATAGAGCCGCACCCGATAACCTGTCGGCCTGTTAAAATATTGTAAAGCCGTAGTATAAACATTACCAACGCAATACAATACAAATGTTTTTTCCTCTTAAAAACAATACACAAGTGGTTTTGGCTGTCCCAAATACTCCGTAATCTTAAAACTTGTAGGTATTTCTACTTGTGTGTGTAAGTAAACAACAACTAAAATGGTTATGTTTATTTACACCAACATAGAAAACCTTGACTACAATACATAGCGTGAGATAGTGTAACTATATGAATATATGTAGTTGTAAATTATGAATACTATAAGCAGGTTTAGAAATATAGTTAAATAGACTAAAATTCTAATTGTGTATACAATTAGAATTTTAGTCTAATTAACTAACTACTAACTTAACTAGTGCCTAGACTCACATTTCAACCGGGGGACCTGAAATCACATGGTCCTACCGAGAGTAGGGCGCCTGAGGCCAGCCGTCGACTTTGTTTTAGTGGAAACACCACATATTCCTATCTCTTGTGTCCCCAAGAAGCCGGCGATTCGAATCGATTTTCCACCCCGTCACCAAATAAAAGGCTGACATATCGAAAAGTTTTCAAGAAAAACGAAAGATCGTATCAAACGCAGTGACACAGGCTGAAACACCGGCAAGCATAGAGAACTTCGAGTATATGTATGCGAAACTAATTTGCAACTGTCATTGGATGGCCTTACTATCTTCAATCTTATACTCTTAATATTATTCAAATGGAAGTTATTAAAACATTATTAATTCATGATCATATTATGTTTTAATCACTTTATTTACCCCCAGCTAGTGGCTTTAGATTTTTTTTTAACATACTATTGGGGACGAACTGCCGCCATCTTTTTATATATATATATACCCAGATACACTTGCACATACATTACAAATAACATATCACTGTTTAGTAATACTTAAATACATAGTCAACAGGAACAGGTTACACTTTAGAAAGAATACCGGTGTTAAACAATGCTTACTTTGCTGTGAGGATCTTAGACCAAACTCTCCTAAGTCCATCAGGCCATCGAGTATGTGTACGAGCCCCAGATACCTCATTGAGGGCTCGATGCGGATACTTTGTGGCTAGATTCCTCAGGTGGCTTCTCTCAAATCCAATGAAAGAACAAGGCCTTGGATTTGTGCAAAGCTACCTCAAGACCCAGCCGCCGGAAAACACTCGTCCCCTTATTCAGAGGAGGAGATACTAAAAAGCTAGTGTGGCACATGTGACTTCTGAGTTGCACGTTGCAGGTGGCAGCGGGAAATGTGAGAATTTCATCAAGTGAACTGTCTGTGCTCGTGTAGGGTATACACAAAACATAACAAAACAAGGGCACATCATAAAAAAAAAAAACTAAATTCGCGGGTTTGTACTGGCAGTAAATATTCAACAAGTGTCTCAACAGTCGTATAAAATTGATAAACAAGTCGTGAGCAATGAGTATTCATGGCGAGATAGATTATATACATACATTTTACAAAACTGTTTTAATACTCTACGATTTACCTACATGACAATTTCAGATCTTTAAGTGGAAAGTTAATTAAAGAATTAATCAATGATAACGATGCCTTGTCAGTATGTTTATGAAAAGAATATGTTTTAATGCATGTACTTGAGTAATCTTAATCTGCTATTATTTTTATGTGTATTAATGAAATTTGTGAGTGATTTGTTTAATAAACTTGAAAGAGATACAAAATTTAATTTCTTGTATTACTCGTATCAAAGTAGTCGAAATGATCACAATAACAAAAATTAATCATAATCATCATCCTTTATTCTTTACAAAGAAGGTTTTTTGTTTTAGCAAGAATTTATAATTGAATGAATTAAATTTCCCCATCAGTAATTTAAAGTAAACAAAGGGTTTGTGATTAATAAAAAGGTACAATAAGATACGTAACCGTTTTTTTTTAATATTGAAGTAACTTTATGAAAGACATAACTTAGTTAAGTCAATAAAGTCGTTGAGCTATTACTAAATAACAAAAAACATCTTGCAATCATACAACAGAAAATAGTAATTTGTCATCAGTGATCTATTGCAAAATGTAGTGTGTTTTGGTAAGATAATCTATTTATAGATATTTGTGATCAGTTATTTCATGATCCCTAGTGTTATGAATCTACATATATTTAGTTAAAACTTTAGTAAGAAGCAACTGCAAAAAAAATATTTAGACAATTCAATTATGAGTAATGAGACTTGTGATAGATTGATAATGACAAGCGATGCAAATGTTTATGTTTGTTCTAATAAGGTAGAAAGCTATATTCTTCTTTCTTCTGCAGAAATAAAACATAACCAAATACTTTATGCTGTGATCAGCTGTATGAAATATAACATTAAAGTGTAATGAAATAGGCCTATTGGTCTAGTGGTATAATGATCCTATTACAATAGATCGTGAGTTCAATTCCTAAGAGGAAAATACTCCTTATGGTGTGTATTTGTACCATTATTGTGCGTGTTAATCGCACAATAAGTATAAATAAGTAATACATTTTGGTAGCCGGATACGGTGATATCTTCTAACTGGAGGTATTTTATCTAATATATATATATATATATATATATATATATGAGTCGCGTTATTATCTAGTACGGCTCTGTCTAGTCTAAAATCAATTGGCCTCATGTGACGTGTAAGTTATCCATTAGTTAGACTTTCGTTGCGTACTTACTACAAAGAATTAATACACAACAGATAATGAAATAAAAACGCCGACTTGTTACTAATCTTATCGCTGTTCGTTGTTTAATCACGAGAAGGTACGATATCATTTATTATTAGTTATTGATAGATATTAGTGGTAAAATCTCTCCCCAGTTTTGAATTATACGAAGAGTGTTGGATAATAATAGTAAAACATGAGCAAAAATGCAAATTGATCACATTGTTTTCCGATCGCATTTTTCATAACAACTTGTTTCGTATGATTGAATTACTGTATAAATTACTTCATTTCTGTGTATAGAAAGTAAGTGTTAGTTACTAAACCTATATGAAAAATGAACTAATAGTAACTTCAACAACTTGGCGAAACGTGATCCAGCCATTCCGACGCCAGATTGGCTGGCCACTTCAGTAATCAAGCAACATACCCAATCAACCTTTAGCTTAATTTTATTTGCTGGTAGAAGTAAGTCCAATTTCAAATAAAAGAGAACTTTGTAAATACATATGCCATATGAAAACAGTAAGTTCTAGAATTTTCTTAAAATTGGTCACCACAACAGATAAGATAAATCGTTTCCTACTGCGTTCAATTGAGCAAAAAAATAACGCCTTGGGGAAACTCGAGATCCCTTGCTTTGCCATTAATTTCCTTTTCAAGATGACTAAAATATTTAGATGATTTTTAAAGCGGTTTTCTTACTTGTAGCAGCAAAGAACCGAACTTTATGTCAGTCACTGGTCGCGGTTACATCTTGACAGGCCGGATGAACAGTGTCCACTGCAACCCAAATTCTAATCGGAATCGGTACCTTACTGAAATTCTGTTTTTGTTTGCACATGTATTTTGCTGAATATTTGTATCACATTCACAGACAATACAGTCGAATTCGCTCAAAATGGCCTTGATCAAGGAATTCCAGAAGATTGTAAGTATATCGTAGACGTTTAAAGTCAAATAAAATATATGTACCTATATCCTACGAGACAAATTATTAGTCATTGCATTATTTATAATGGCCGGGCTATATAAAAATATCAATTGCAAACATGCTATTCGATTTATACTTATTATCCTAAACAAAAACCTAATCAGTAGTATGAAGTACTTGTGATTTAAATGACCTATTACTATTGAAATTGAAACTAAAAACGCAGAATGATTTTGAAAAAGAAATAATTAAAAAATGTGTAAGTAAAGACACAAGTTATTTACAATTCACACACATTTAAACGTTTTAATAATATACTTACCAGAATGACACATGTAAACCTAACCAGGTATTTTGTTTTGCCGTATTTACATTAGGCGGTGGATTGGAACCATAGATAAGGAAGACTCAGACTCAGTTACAAAGGAAAACTCAGACTGGTAAAGTAGGGTAATTACCTAGTAGTAAAAACTCCTTAGTATGTCTTTGACCTTTGTCAAAAAACTTATCTTTCGTTCACAGACGATGCACCTGAATTCGTGCACGTTGGACCTGATCAAGCAATTCCACGTGAATGTAAGTAAATCATCTCCATCATCCTTTACTAGTCCAATGTTGGACGTAGGCCTCTCCCTAGAAAAGACACAAGTAATCGTATATCGCCTATGTAAAATGAGTAAGTATGTAGTTATCGTCCAAGTGATTAAACCAGATGGCAATTTAAAGTTACGGTGGAGAAAAGAAATACATACAGGAATCTTAAAAATAAAAGTTTTCGGCTAAATGTAGAACCCAAACTAAATGTAATTTGTATTTTCTATTACGATTTCATAACCTATTAACCTACCACATTTTACTACAAATAAAAACATCCTATTCTCAAAGTATGCATTTCTATTAACGCCATTTTCTTATGAATAAATTCATAATAGAAGTATGAAGTCTTGAGAAACGTTTTATAAATTGTAACTTTTTAACTTACAGGGCTAAGGTAAACATCAAACATCGGCAACATGAAACAATTAATTTGAGATTCTAACACAGTAGATTATAGTTTATATTACTTTGAATTTTTATTTACTCTTAAGTAAAAGTGCAAGTGAAATAATAATCATATCATATTAAAATTGTCACATAATATCATAGTTTTTTTTTATTTGCCTTTTGCTACTTTCTAGATTCTTATTGAAATAGGTTAAACTTATTTTTAAAATGTTTTTGGAACTACATTCGAAATATCTTCCCCTATTCAAGCCACCAAGTCACGTTCAACACTCGCTCTAGTACTTAGTACTTTCAAGTGACAGGTATATCTTAATCTCTACATTTTTAAACTATAACATTGAGCTCATAGACCATGTTAGGCCAGGACTAACATTCGTCTAAGGAAACGTACCCATATTATGCCAAGATGCGCTGCGCTACTATAGTTTTTACTACTACTACTACTATAGTTTAGTAGGTACTCGTAACTCATAAATGTGATTTGAAATCATTGTCATCTGCATGCAGAAAGTAAAAAATATTATTTATTGTAAGGTATTTGTCTTTAAAATACAAATATGAGTCACCTGTGAGTTTAAAAAGCACTAAACGCAACGCGCTATATTTGACCACGTTACGAAAACCGAAGCCTTCCCTCGCCCCTGTGACCAAGCGAGGTATTTTGAAGTCCCCCTCCTTCTCAGAACGGATCACATAGTATGGGTACGTACCCTAAGTGAATATCTAAAATATTATCCCCCATTAATACTGGATAAGGCCCTCTTGAGTAACAGGTGTCCATCTTATTTTAATTCAAAGACAAGTATAACTTAAACTGACTTTCTTTCGGTGCAGTCGAGTTGTAAGCCTAGGTCTTTCACCGATCGACAAACAGGTATAGTCATACCATTAAAAATTATTTTGGGGAGCGTCTCAAAATTGACACTGTTCATCGAACGCTGACTGCCAATTATTATTGCCTGACACTTTGTCGGGTTGACCGATAACCCAAACCTTTCAAACCAGTTTTTGATGGTTTTGAGATCTATGTTGATCTCGTCGATAGCTATTGGTATGTCATCAACATTAGCTTGAGCATACAGTTGCACATATGTATTTTCACACATACATGAAACGGACACAAAGAACACCCAGACTCAGAACGACAATTTGTGGATCACACAAAGTGTCATCCCATATGGGGATCAAACCCGCATCACTCAGCGTAATAAGAAGAGGTGTGGCGACCGCTTGAACCACTACGCCATCCGTGTTATAAGACCCTTTTTTTACATAATTTTTAACTTTATTATGATTCTTCCTAAACCATCAACTTAATCATCATCAAGCCTGTAGTACTTTCTACACTTCTTCTTAATATATTCATTAAACAATTCCAAATATGAGTACCAAGGAGTACTCCCTAAACCTACACCTGGGTCGCAATTCTCAGGCGCTATCGAAGTCGCATCTGTTGCCCTCATCTATTACGTATCTTATGGTCCCGGCACCCGCACGGTGGACCCATGGAACGCTAAGAAATAGTTTTTTTTTCGTGAGGTATATTGGTTTAAAAAAAGGTACTAAGATTTTTCTTCATGGACTACAATATAGATATTTAGTATACTATACAGACAGACAGACAGTATATAATTGGTACTACACTAATTATGAAACATGCAATATTTAGATGATGAAGAAACATAGGTCTATTATTTCTCGTATTTATCTATTGTGAAGAATTATAAAACTATTAATTGCTTATTAGAAGAATCCTAATTGATATCGCAACAATTATTCGTTCCTCATATCCTAGAACTGTAATTACGATGTTTTTTTTTTTCAATGACGTTAATAAGTGACAGCGATTATCCCACGATTAATGCATCGTACGTGAATAGAAAGCAAATATAAAAGACGATTGGACTTGAAGAACTTTAGTCATTGATTAGAACTGGTAAAACTGGTATAGAAAATGTCACGACTAGTGGTGAGTTTTTTTTCTTTTTTCTAAATGTTAAATTTATTAAATTGCCTACTATGTCTGTAAAACGTATAAGTGAAATAGAGAACGTTGCATACGTTCTCTTTTTCACTTATACCTTGTCAGGAGACCGCCCGGGCCCCATCAATACAAATTTGTTCTAGTGACAGTTCTTGCGATGGCGGTACACGAGCCGAACCGGTACTTTCTGTAATAACTGCACCCCAAAGAAACCTTTTTTGTTTACCTTGCTGAAATCCTTTCGGATACCACAACCGCGGGTGGTTATGCCTGACTCGAACCGACTAAAAACAGCACTCCGTCTCGGCAACCAGTAGCCGGGGAACCAAGTATACGATAGAAAGAAAATCCCGAGCTTTCTAAATGTTGTAGATGACCCCTTCGTATGTGGGAACCACGATATTCCCTTCCTACTTCCTAAAGAGTACATAGAGCCACCACCAGACCTTGCACCTACCGACTATTACTTTTTCCAAATTTAGACAACTTTTTAGTGGGTAAAAAATTCAATTCCCGAGAGACAGTACAAAATGCCTTTGAAGAGTTTGTTGCCTCCCGTCCAGCTGATTTTTAAAAGAAGGGCATCAATAAACTGCCAATACGTTGGCAAAGATGCATCGATTGCAAGGGTGATTACTTCGAATAACAGAAATAAAAAAGTTTGAAAAAATAAGTACTTTTACTTATCGCATACAAAACGGCAATTTCATAGGTAAAGACCTAATATTTCAAAGTTTCATAGTTCTAAAGACGCTGCTAGTATATATGAGTTTATGTAGATGTGTTGATGTCTTACTTTTCTTTTAGGAGTGACCTCCAAGGATATATTTATTGCGAAAGCTGAGCCAAAATAATGGTCGCCTTTATTCCTAAACCGGGGCTCTATCTAAATTTTAGGCTCTCTCCGTAAATACTACAATCCACAGAAATGCCGAAAAATACTTTAATCAAAATTTTGTGGTCACTTGTATGATTAGCACCCTTCTAACTAATTGCCTATGTCCAGCAGTGGACTATCAAAGGCTGTTGATCTTCTTGTAGGCTGTTTAATATATTTAAGGCAGTTGTTTGGCTTTTCTTACAGATCTACATTTGGTAAAAATAGGCATACCAAGAAACTCAGGCATAAATAACCTTACTATGTTGACCTACAACAATGCTTAAAGACAAGCAGATTTAATTTAGTCTCTGCTTAATTTTAGGTAGTTGCCTGTGTGCTGATGTTCGTGGCAATGGCAGTATGCCTGGACACGCCGACGAACCTAAAACCTAATACGGAAATGCCCAAAGATGGTCAAGTTCATGTTCCTACCGGCCATCCTAAACATCCTAATCCACAACACAAACTCGACGGCCAACACCAGGATGCTCCGCGTCAAGACGGTGGACAAATGCCAAAGGCAGATAAATCTGACGAGAAGCCTCCTCAGGATACGAAGAATTAAACAATTTAGAGAAATTCCATAGAAATTATAACGATTCATATATATATATGTTTTTGTTTAATATTTTATGTAACAAGCATAATTAAATCAGTTGCAACTATTTTTTTCTTTATTTACATTTTTTCTGTACATTGATCTGAGTAGCCTGCTTGCAAAAATCTATAAAACTCAAGTATTGTGATAGTAGTAGAGAACTTTTGCTTAAATAGAAGCTTTAACGTTTGAGAAAGATCTTCCACCTTTTAATGAAAGACCCTGTTACAGCGACATTACTTATGTACGTAAAGCTGTTTATGGCACTGATTAGAAAGGGTCTCCTGAAATTTATAAGATACGGGCAGTGAGACGTTCTTAAAATCATTGTCTAACATTCATGTAAACATAAACAGTAGGGTGAAGGCAAACAGACTTATAAGAAAACTGGTGACAATCAGAAAGCTCAAATGCCGTGCCACATATGCGTATAATTAATAAAACTCTGTTAATTTATTGAATGGAACGGAGATTATCTTCTCCAACACGAAAAGAGTATATTTCGAGGCCAGGCCAGTAGACCAGGCTAGATGATGCATGATGTTTTGAAGAATTAACGGAAACTTTTGCGATGCAGGATTGGTACTCCAATGTTGGGAGTAGCTGAATAAGATGAGATTGAAGTATGTTTTTCATTGTATGTGGAGGTCGCTACATATAAATCGATATGAATGATATCAACCGTCATTTCTCATCCACAGCTACGCTGGATCTTCAAACTAAGTGTCGAATGCTACACTACATATCTAGTCTTACCAGTCCCACTACTCACTCGTTTGAATTTTCTCCGGTGTCTCCTAAGGATATCAATAAGATTATTCTATTCTATATATTCGTTCTAATGCTGTGGGGTGTGATGGCATTAGCCTAGACTACCCATCCTAGACTGTATTCTCTCAGTAATTACTGATATAATCAACTTCTTTCTCGACTCTGATACCTTTCCCTCTTTGTGGCGCAAGGCTTATATTATTCCTCTACCAAAAAATAATAACCCTTCACTTCCTGAACACTTTCGACCTAGCTCTATTCTTCCCTATTTATCTAAAGTACTCGAGGACTGTGTACAGTAACAACTCTCACAGTTTGTATACAGAAACCGGTCACAGCAGAGTTACCGCTCTCCTTAAAGTGACTGGCGATATTAGGAAGTGCATGGAAGATGTTATGGTATAACGAAGTGCGTGAGTGACTAGTGCCACCTATCTGTCATCTAATGTTAATAGTCCGTTCATTTTTATTGCGCCGCCGCCGTTAACACGAGTATATTGTTGTCTTGAATTATTACCAAATTGAAGTAATTAAAACCAGTAAAACATTTATTTACCTGTAATCCTTCAGAAGACACCAAAGTCACAGTACTGGTCCTAGTTTATTTCTCCAATGCCTTTAATACCGTCAATCACGAAATCCTGTTATCTATCCTCACATGTCTTATGGTTCCTTCTGAGACACTGGAATGGTTCTAAACTTATCTTCATTCTTTCAGTAATTACTTAATATATTAAGACGTAACCTCTGGGCACCTACCTTACAAGATTTCTATACCACCCAAAGGTTGACTGGAAGAGACTGCCCTGGGCATTAAGTCAGCCGATGTAGAAAAGTGCATGAAGTTAAATAAATAAAAACGTCTTTTATCATTATTTTGCTATAAATTGTTGTAAGGCGTTTTTGCATTTTATTGATTTAGGCTAATAACGAAGATTAGAAAAGAGAGAAAAACTGTTTCACTTTTCAAGTTATAATTTAGAAAATAAGTAAATATAGAAGCATTGTTCTAAATTTATCGCCTCAAAATGTTCCTTTTACTAGATATAGATGGCGCTGCCGTCACGCAAACATAGTAACTATCAGCTCTGTTTACAAATTTCTATAATAATAGAGGAAGTGATAAACCAGTTACAGAATACACAACATTAGTTTAAGTGCTTCATAACTCACGCGGTGCAGTATTTGTGAAAAGAAAAAATGAAGTTTTCCAATAAAATTCAACAATGATAAAAACGGAACTATTAAAACTATGATAACTGTGATTAACGTATTAAACTAGTAAGAAGAAAGATAATACCCATAATAGATGAACTACAAACGTATACAGAAAAAAAGAACTACAAGTAAGTAATTTTTCAATTTGTATCAACAATAAATAGTGTAAAATCCTGAAGCACCTACATTAGTTTGTTATATTCAAATCGATTGTAACTGACAAACACGATTAGATAGAAGCAAACGCCGTGCACTATTAGATTGGGTATTTCATTACTCGCATTAAAAGAGCGTTTGGTTCAGTGGTAAATACCCAAGATATATGCGCTAAGTGTCGGTGGATCCGAACCTAATGCGCGGAAGAAGTCTTTTTATGCAATAACATTTTATTCAAAACATCACACAAAATATAAGATGAATTTCTTTGAGAATATAACATTGCGCAGAACGCAAAAATCGAAATCAACGACGTCATTGGATCAATATAGTTCCATGAATTCTACACTAGATGGCGCAACACACAGTCTTAGTTTAATATCAGTCGAAGACGACTCGGAAGAAACATCACACCTGAAGCACGAAATAGAACAATTGAAGGCAGAGTTATTATCGGCTCACAGGGAGATAGAACACTTATCGCTAGAAAATACTGATTTAAAAGATAAAGTCATACAATTAAAGGATAAACAAAAGCTAATCGAAAAAGTAACTAAAAAAATTTATATTGAACATACCCCAAACAGCAAAAATACATTGTTGTCTCCACGTGTGAAAGGAAAAAGTGCAAAAAAATATATGAACATCGAAAAAACCCCTGTAATGAATTCAAATGACAATATTTCGTTGCAAGGGTACACTCAAGCACAGAATACGGATCGTGATCACGAACTAGATCATGACACACACCCCTTAGATGACAAGATACAACGGAGGCAAGAAGTTCAAACGGTAATAAAACCGAAAATATATGTTTTTGGTGACCAACAGGTGCGGGGATTTGCTCAGAATATTATAAAAACACGAAGAAACAAGTGGAACGATATTTACGATGTCACGTCAACTATCAAACCGAATGCATCAAGTGCTCAGATCCTAAGTAGCTGCAGTGATACGTTTATAAATAATCTTACACTAAATGACATAATTGTTGTAGCTGTTGGTTCAAACGATAAATATCCGTATAACTTTATATCGGAACTATGTAATGTATTATACAAATTACGGCACCACTCAGTGTTTGTAACTAATGTGCTGTATAATCCGTATTTAAATGAAAAGATGCTTAATGATAAGATAGAATTAATTACAAGCAACTACAAAAATTGTAAATACATAAATATATCTAACTGTAATAGTTACTTCCATAACAATAGGAGTTACGAATTAATGTATCATAATTCCTACATAGAACAATTGTGCTTTAGGCTAAACATTGAAATTGATCATCGCTGCTATCAGAAGGAGATTATGAATAGGATTAAAACAAATTTAGCTAATTCAAAAAATCTACGAAGCAAAATAAACAACAGCTTTGGGTCGCAAAAATCAACCAAGAGAAATATACAAACAAAAATTACCTCATATTTCAGCATTAGCGAAAAGGATAACACGGGATTACCTTTGAGTCAAAAGCCATGTAACCTACCAGATACAACTAATCTTTTTCGTGGCTAACACAAGTACATGCACGCTTCTACATCAAAATATAGCTAGTATACTTTCAAAAAAGGATAAATTCGAAATAATCTTAGATCAATTAAATTACAATATAGACATAGTGTGTCTTACGGAGACATTTATGAAAAGGGGTACGGAATCAAATCTGATTTTAAAACAATACAATTTAGCAACAGCCTACTCCAGATTAAATAAACGTAGAGGAGGATCGTGTATATTGGTAAAGAAACACTATGAATATAAAATACCTAACCTCAAAATACAACCGATTCCTTATCATTTTGAATACTGTGCAGTAGAACTATTATCACTTAAGTTACTCGTAGTATGTATATATCGTATACCAAATAAGAATGCCCAGATATTCCTAGAAAACTTACACTGTCTTCTAAATTTAGTGTGCAAAAGGGCAGGTAAGAATATTATATTGTGTGGTGACTGGAATATAGATATGCTTGCAAATGAAAAAAATACGAAAGACTTGCAAGCCATTTTAGATAACTTTAATTTTAAAAACCACATATTATGTCCGACTCGTCAAAGTTCCTGTATTGATATTATAGCGAGTAATTTACCCTCCGTCAGACCCAATATACTTATGCTGGCATTATCAGATCACGAAACAGCTCAAACTATATCCTTCGAACACACTTGTAATGTACCTAAACAAAATCTGTTTTGGTTTGAAAAAAAAAGAGACTTCGCTAAAGCTTACATTAATAAATTCATTACATGTCTATCTGCCCTCTCATTCAACGAAGTATATGCATGTGATGATACAGAAGAGGCTTTTAATGTATTTCACGATCTCTTTACTTTATTTTATGATCTATGTTTCCCAACTATTACTGTTAAAATATCTAAAAAGACTAAATGCCGATGGATTTCTAAGGGACTTAGAAAATCTAGTAAGCATAAACGTCATCTCTATCTGCAGTATAGGTTCTCTAGGACAAATAAAAACAAACATAAACTTATATATTCTAATTATAGCAAAGTGTTTAAAAAATGTATTATACAAGCACAGAAAGTTGAAAGTCTGAATTACATCAAAAATGCCAATAATAAGTGTAAAGCAGCGTGGAACATTATAAAAAATAATGTGTGCGATAAACGGGGCACTGGTTGCATAGCGTCAATAAAACTGAATGGTACGGAATATTCAAATCCGAACCAAATAGCACAGCAGTTAAATAATTATTTTATAAACTTGACATCCCCAGTTATAAGCTCTGTACCAAAATTAAATGTTTCGAATATAACTACCTACCCCTATACAATTAATAATAATTCTGATACCATTTTTTTGACTCCTGTAAATGATTTTGACATTTTTAAAGCTATTAACTCTTTACATAACACTAATTCGACAGGCTATGATCACATCAGAACTGACATCTTAAAATTATGCGCCAAAATAATTTCTGCTCCCTTATGTTATATTATTAATTTGTCACTTATGCAGGGACACGTACCTGCTAGACTAAAACTATCAGTTGTCAAACCTTTGCATAAGAAGGGCGATACAAATGACATGAATAATTATAGACCCATTACGTTGATTCCAATATTTTCAAAATTATTTGAAAAAGTAATGCATATTAAATTATATGGATTTTTAGAAAAAAATAACATTCTCACACCTGAACAACACGGTTTCCGAAAAGATCACTCTACTGCCTTGGCATGTTTTACTTTAACGAAAGTAATTACTGACAATCTCAATATAAAAAATAACATAGTATCAATATTTCTTGACATGTCCAAGGCTTTCGATTTTGTAAATCATAAATTGTTACTCCATAAGCTTGAGAGATATGGAATCCGTGGAAAAGCACTAGATTGGCTTAAAAGCTACTTAGATAACAGATATCAATGTGTAGAGATATCAAGCATTTCTGGTAAATATAAAACATCCTCTAGATCCGAATTTAAACGACTAAATAGTTCTGGGGTACCTCAGGGGAGTATTCTAGGGCCTTTATTGTTTATTTTATATATAAACGATTTACCGAATGTGACTGAGCATAAATGCGTACTATACGCCGATGACATTACCTTAATTATAGAAGATAGCGATAAAAATAACATAGAGAATAAGATAAACAATGAACTGGGTAATATTATCAATTGGTTAGAATGTAATTACCTTAAAATAAATGTTAATAAAACGAAAATGATACAATTTCAGACATACAATAGTAAACCCATTAAATTAGATATTAAATGTAATAATAATGTAGTTGAAGAAGTGGATGCGACGTCATTTTTGGGCATTACAATAGACAAACACTGTAATTGGAAGCAACATATTCAGAACCTTTGCATGAGTTTGGATAAATTTGTTTATGCTATATATCGCCTTAAACAAATATCGACTCTTAGCACTGCTTTAAGCGCATACCACGGCTATGTGTCGTCAAAACTACGATATGCGATTATAATATGGGGCAATTCAGTTGAGGCAAATAGGGCATTTCTTGTGCAAAAGAAATGTATGCGAGCACTATCCAACTTACAGCAAACCGATAGTTGCAAAGAGCATTTTAAGAAATACAACATACTACCTCTACCTAGTCTGTATATTTATGAGATTTGTGTTTTTGTGCACAAACATCAACGGCTATTTTGTAAACATAACGACGCTGTCGCCAGGTCAAGCAGAAACACACATAAACTCTTAGTTCCCAGACAAAGAATAAGTATGTATAGTAGGAATGTATACTGTATGGCTATACATATTTATAACAAGATACCAAATAGATTTAAGGAAGACACCATTAATGTTTTTAAAAGAAAATTATTTACGTTGCTCTTAGATAAATGTTTCTACAGTGTTAAAGAATTTTTTGACGATGAGAAATTGTGACATAATTATTACTATATTACTAAATAATGCATGATTAAATTGTAAAAAAAAAACAGTAAATTCAGTATATTAACATTTTGTTCACCAGATAATGGTAGAATGTGGCTAGCATCTAAAACGAACCTACTAACAACTCTGTAAACCCATATTCTGACAAATAAATATATTATTATTATTATTATTTAAATGGAGGAGGAAACGCAGCAATGAAGCGCCTTAAAATGATTGATACACACTAACATCGTGATACATATTACAATCACGTTTCCTCATCCAATTGGGTATTTAGTTAAAATAATATGTTTTTAATCCCATTTGCTATCGAATAAGGTATAGCAAATGGGATTAAAGTAGTAGTAAATTAAGTCTTCGCCATTTCCTATTTAAAATCGAGAAGTTATTTACTCTAAAAGTCATCATCATTATCATATTAACAGCCTTTACTAGTTCACTGATGGACATAAGCCTCTCCTTAGAAAGGAGGTTTTGGCCTACTATACCACGCTGGCCAGACGGGTTGGTAATTTTACAATTAATTATGATTAACGCGCACTAAATTGGCCAATATTAAAAACTCATATAAAATGTTATTTTATTAAATATATAAGAGATGTAGATCTCCAGATACATACAACTGAAAATAACACTTTTTCGAGATGTTAAATACCATTAAGGTTAAATACGGTGTTTACAAACTTCTGAAAATTATTGTACATTTAATTGTATTAGCACCAAGTTAAGCCGTTACTATAACTAAGCTGGATATATTTAACTATACTCGTACTCTGATGTGACATGTGTATGTGAAATATGTTTGATTAAAAAAAAGTTTATTATTTATCTATTCCAGCAGATTGAGAATAGAAGAAAAACCTCTATCTCCTAGAAGAAAAACGAAGAACATCAGAGTTGATAATCTTTATTTATAAGACAGTCTTATAAGCATATATTGCAATATTTACATAATGTTTTTCAGTCCAAAACCTCTAAAGATCTGCCGCTAACCATTTCTATATAAGAAATCGAAATGGCTGTACATTTCTAAATTACAAATTTTTTTCATCACTGGGTCGATTCTCTGTCAGCTAGTCTAGTGATGGCCCCATTTGCCGCCGCCATATCCCATGCCACTGTATCCGTAGCCTCCAGCGTATCCACCCCAGCTAAGTCCACCAAGACCGCCCAGTCCGAGACTGCCAATAGCAACTGGAGCTGCGATCACAGCACCACCACCTCCAAGGAGTAAAGCCCCTTCATGTGCATTCCTGGCAGCAGCATCGGCGATTGCTTGTGCTTGTGCAGCGCTGCTAGCTACGGCAGCGGCTTGGGCACGAGCAGCGTTGGCAATTCGAGCAGCTTCCACAGCACGGGTGTTGGCGATGGCTATAGCCTGTACACGAGCAGCGTTGCCTAAGCGCTCTGCTTCAACAGCGCGAGCAATTTCAGCAGCACTGGCAGCTGCTGCACGTCTCGCTGCTTCTGCGGCCCTTGCGTTTTCATAAGCAGCCGCTTGAGCGCGTTGAACATTAGCAACGCGAGCAGCATCTAGCGCAGCAGCGTTGTTGATGGCATGAGCCTGACCAGCACGAGCAGCAGCTTCGGTTACTCGAGCACCCTGGATAGCAGCTGCTGCCGAATTACCAATTTGCGATGCGTGAACAGCCTGAGCATTCTGGATTGCACTAAGGTGAGCCGCACCTGCTGCAGCAGCGCTGTTAAGGGCTGCACCCGAACCTATTGCAGGACCGCCGTATCCAGCACCGGCTACTATATGGCCACCAGCGATTGCAGCACCTGCAAGGCCAGAGCCATCAAGTTCACTAGCAAAAATATGACCACCGAGTCCATAACCTCTGTGGTGGCCTACGCTAATCACCGGTGAGGTGATGGCAGATTGTTCCCCATGAGAATCTGCAACTTTTTCTGAAATAAAAACAAGTGTTTTGTTTACTTATTCTATGAAATTTATGGTATAAGTGTTATGAACGGGCGTTGTATAATTCTTATACAGATATTATGATTAAGGTTTAGCGTATTCTTTACGCTTTAAGACACTAATTAAATAACAAGATCTCGTCATGACTACATCAATATTTAAGTTTTAATCAAAATCAGATAGTCTTCGGAATTACATAATCCTAAGACCGCCTCACTTAATCCTCTGTCAACTAAATAACAAAATCACCCCACACATTACATCAATAGCCTTTAATAGTCCACTATGGCTACTACTGGACATAGGCTGAGGCCTATGACCAGTAGTAGCCATAGTAGGCCAAAATCTCCTTTCTAATTTGAGCCTTAGATAGGAGGTTTTGGCCTACTATACCATGCTTGCCAGACGGATAGGTATAGGACTTGTGTCAAGATTTCCTTCTCTTTGCAGTGCTATAGTTCGGCGTAGTTTGCTTCTTTAGCGGGCCGTAACGACACCCACGGCACGAATAGGGGTAATGATACTCCGTATTTTTAATCCCTCACCTCACGGATGTTATAAAAAAATATTTTTAGATGATATTCCAACGTAATAAAATTTGTTTCTAGATTTTTGTGATTAAATTACTTAAAAGTCTATGTACTTACTGTCTCCAACAACTTCATGCGCCACGGCGATGACAAATAAAATCTGAAAAATAACAAAACTCAAATAACTTCTATGTAATTAAATTGAAACCTATATCTATGGGTCCTATTGCCCTTTATTTTACCGTAAATGGAGACATCGCTACAATATTGGTTTGCTGTTGCTTTGAAGCTACCAAATTGGACTGCTGATAATGTTTGATGTCTATCGCAAAATAGACTGCACTTTTATACTGCACCTAAAATTATTAACATGAAATTAACAATTCTAATCAGTCGATCGATGCTGCTCTATTTGAATATGATTAGGTAGGTTCAATAAAAACTTACCGGTGTGCGTCGGTTGGTACATGTTCATACACAATCGGACCAAACTGAGGAGATATCAGACCATGTCGGATCCACTGAACTTCTTATACGATGTAGCTAACTTATATGGTGTAGCTGTGTTGGTAATCACCACAGCCATTTAGATATCTGATCAATCATTGTTTTGTATCAATAAATCGTCTCATCAATATGTAGTAATCTAAGATAAGATGGAAATCTTCAGATACATTGAATTGTATGTTAAAATTACGATAAATAAGCAATATCTCCTACTACTGTTCACCTATATTATATGTATATAAAATTTATTACAAGCTTGTCATCTTGGATCTAAAGATATCATTTGTAATTAAAATCTGTCTCTAGATAATCCTCATCATCATCATCAGCCTATCGTAGTCCACAATATTCCAGCAATAATAAGTGGTAATCCATTAATAATTTTGTTTTAAATGTGTTGGTATGTTGTCAATTTCTCAGTTAGAACTGACTGTTTGAGATACAAAATACAGAAAAAGAATGTTTGTTTTGAGTCTATTTTATTGAAGTTTTAGTAGAATACTACAATCAATTTAAGGAGAACATGATTTTTAACCTTTAGGTTTAATATACCTTAAGTTTAAAAAGTGCGTCTAAGAAAATTATTTATTAAAAAAAACAAACAATTGTCGATATTGTATTGTGTGTATATGTATAACTTCTATCTTAAATCTGAAAATGACTATTTCAATACAAATTTAAATATATTATTTCATCATGTAATTTTTTTGTATGTTTTATGTTTTGATAAGTTTTATCCATAATTTATTTAATACAAGAAACATAAAATATCGATATAATTAACCTTCATATAAAATGAGAACGAAGGGATACAATCATAGCCTTTCCTGTAAATAATTTAATTAATCATGAAAATGATTTCGCAACTAGCGAAAACTGCAACTAAATAAGTTGAACTATAATTCGAACAAAAATTATAACAATTAACATGCAAATGAGGATTCTAGTGGCTGAATTACTGATGGAAATATTGTTGTTATTATGTACTTGTTGTTGCAGTCATTGTTTGTATATCTGCATGTTTATGTAACCCGCCTGTTCTGTCACCAAACCAAACAGTTCGTTCAAAAACCACATATTATACAGCAAGCCGCTTGTAAATTACGTAGTACTGGTTATGAATAAAAAATACAGTTTGAAAAAAAAAACAGTGTGTCGTGCCTATTGCGTGTCATTATTATTCAGTTGAGTAATAAGATTTTACAAATTGATTCTTTGATTATTAAATACGTGAATGAGTTCGAATCTTTGCATTTGGGTCAGTGTATAATCCAGATTTAAGGGACCTCATTAAGAGGTTTGTAAGCAAAAAGATTGCACAGAAATTTTTATGATTAAAACTGAATTGAATTTCGTATGTCAGAATAAGTTATGAATACCGAATAACGAACGTATGGATAGTGTTAGCAATAATATTGTATATTTATGAAATAATGAGTTTAAAATTTACAATAAAAACAAAATTACCCAATTACACTCAGGCACAGAATTAATAATCATGCTCATCACACAATTGTTGGTTCTGGGTGGAATTCGAACCATTAGGGCAACAGGCCCGTCACATAATAGCTACACAGTCATATTGCTTGTCTATACTCGTAGAACATTGCTAGGCCTAAGCTTGTAGGCGCGGAAAGCTAGAATGCGCTAACATCTGAATACGCTTTAAATAACAAATGCGCTATCCTATAAACATTATGAATCTCAAAATAACTGAAATGTATTATGATAGTTAGTTTACTACTCTTACACGCAGAAAAAACTAGACTGATTTGGATACAATTTGATGAGAACTCAGAATTTATTCTGTATTATCAGTAATCACAGTTTTAGCAGCCTGGTTGCCCCCGTCAAACTCCAGATTTATAACTTTCAAAGTGTCTGCTGGCGTTGTTCCCACCGTCATACAGCCAGCTGACAAAAATTACATAACGATAGCTTATATAGATGTATATATATATGTAAATATATAAAACAAGCAAACAGAAAATTACTGAATATTATTTTTACTCGTGTTCCTAAGTCTTTATGATACAATTTCCTGATGCGTCTCATCTATTATCGCATGAGAGGAAATTCCTCATTGGGTTGAATTCAAATTGTTTATGTTAATCTGCTATGAGCTCATGGACTATAACATTGCTAGATAATGGAAAACACTTATATCTTAATATTATGCCAATGTTCAACACCTGGTTCTAACCATAATCAGTTTGCTCATCACATCCTCCGGGAATGTAGTCTTTGGTACAATGAACATAATATTACAGGTGACATCTGGGGCGGTATACCTACTATGAGAATCTCAACTAGGGGGAATTTTCGTTCTTTCACAGGTATGCCTAATTTTATTGATTTTTTTGGTTCCCGCTTTGCTAAGAGTGAAGTGGATTTATTATATTTCCAACTCCTCTAATTTATGGCGATGGCGTAGTGATTTAAGCAGTTGCAACGCCGCTTCCTACTACGCTGAGTGTTGTGGGTCCGATCCCCACATGTAACGACACTTTGTGTGATTCACAAATTGTTGTTCTGAGTCTGGGTGTTCTTTGTGTCCGTTTCATATATGTTTGTAAAGTTACCCGCGACATGATATACCTCTAGTGCAAGAGTTATCTTTTTTATATCAAAAAATATTATAAAAGATATGTACATAAAAACGACCTAGTAAGTGAGGGTCTGGAGCACATATCCAGTGGATATTTTACTAAACTTTTTTAAGTTTACGTATCTTGGGTCCGATCTAGGAACATCTGCGAAGTGGGGATAAACTAGTAATAAGGTTGGCAAAAAACAAAATAAGTATTCAATCAAGAACAGCAGACTCGTTAAAGATCACAACTTCAGACTGTTGAATATGTGGCTTTTCAATTTTATGATTTGAAACTAAACTATTGTCGTGAGTCACTTAGTTATTTTGCGTAATTGTTATATTATTAGTGTTAAACTATACGTTTATCTACAATCCTAATGATCTGAACTCATTTACTAATTGTCCAGTTAATTTTGCAATAATTTAGTATAAAATATTCTATTAATGGATATATTAGCCAGTACGAATAATATATTTTATTAGATCACCTGTAAATTATTACATACAAAATTTCAAGATGATGTTCAAACTTATAGTTTTGTCGGTAAGTGATAAAAAAGATTTTTTATGCAATTAGTATTCCAACAAATGTTTATATACTTCACTTTAAAATAATGTTTTTCCATCTAACCCAGTGACTAAATCCTTGTCTTGCAATTAATAATAGTATGGTACCGCAATAATTATTTCTTGTGCATATAAACATTGTGCATGGGAACTCCAAAAATCCTATGGTATGCTATGATTCTCTGCTTTTTTTCATCTGTTCTAGTAAATTTCCGATACTGACAGAATAATCTGGCTATAGCTCCGCAGACGCCATTATCTAAGCTATTCAGAACTTTCTTCCTGTTTGTTGGAGCAATGTCAAAACTTACTCGATATTTCGGATGGCGGATGACTGCCAACCAAGTTTACTTTAGGCTTAGAAATGCAATTATTAACATTACGTTACAACTAATAATGTGTTAATTGAAATGTATTCATATGTTGAAATTTCTATATCTATTAAATTATATGTATAATTATATAATATAATAATTATATATTTGAAATGATTCGATCACACCCTTGGAAATACCGTTAATGATTCGGAAAGGTTCGGGCACTTTTCTTTTCTGGCTTTTTATTAAAGTAATACACTTAAATTTGTCAGTTATTAATGCAGTTTGAATAAAATATTAAAGATGAAAAGATAACCCTGCAACTACACTATTAGCAACTATTGTCTTATTAAGGTATTGCACAATATTTTAAGGCAATATAATTTGCACTATGTTCAATTAGGATAGTTGAAAATAGTAAATTACTTTTTCGATTCGATTACGTTTACTAAACTAATAAAGATGATTACAGTAGAGAAACATATTACCTAAATGTCTTATTATTTACTTTTGTTTGTTTTATCAAATTCATATGACCGTTTTAGAGTTTAGATGTTTTGTAAATTAGACTCTGTTCATAGGCTTTTGTTGTTGACCGTACATAACGAACTTTTTTAACCAGATTCGTCTACAATTTATTGCATCCGTTGCCCCGGAACTGCTGCTGGCCTAACTGGCACAATGTCCTGTATTATTTGTTATTGAATGAAATAAATTTTGCACTTCTTAAAAATCATTGTGAAGGCACGAAAATACTACAAGACACTAAATCACTAAAATACTACAAGATACTAAATCACTAATACATTAAAATCCTAAATGAAAAACGGACAATGAAAATGATTGTTTCTTAATACAAAGATGGTTACGAATATTCTTCACAAAACATGAAGTTAGTGTCGCAAATCTTATCGGGTAAATATTTAACGCGGTCCCCACAGTGTATCCGGGTCCCAGCCAAACGTTATTACAATAATGGTTTCGAGCTCCCACATTACACAATTGTAAATATATTAAAAAGAAAAAAACAAGTTTATTAACTATCAATGGAATAATTTAACAAAACAGAAACCCTTATAGCCCATTTACACAGTCAGACATTTGTTTTGTTTAGTTTTATATATATAGATTTCATAATTCTATGCTCTATAGACTATTTCTTTTAAAATTCTGTGGTAAAAAAGTTTCCGTACTTATATCATTTAGACTTAAAACAAAGTACAACAACATAGTTTAAAAGAAGTCGGTTAACAAATGTAAGTTAAGTATTTGGATTCAGGTACCCCAAACTCTTTTGAATTTAGAACGATCTGAGTTTTTTTTTAATTGAGTATTTAAGCGCAAGCTAATATTATCTTGGTTCTAGAAGTTTAGATCGTTTTTATACATATTTCATATAATAAAGATCAATATCCGGCCTTTAATTCTGTTTTTTTTTATAACTTGATGAATCTATTTAAAATGTATGTATGGTACCTAATATCCTAATGTTCCTTTACTAGGTTGCCTGCATCTTCATCGCTCAACCAGTACAGTGTGGGATTATTTCAAATTTATCCAATATAAAGACAGCAGCAGTCGGTACTGTATCGGATATTGCTTCGATAGTTCCAAATGTGATCACGGCTAAAGGTTCAGCTGTATTGCAAGCGGCTGCTGAGACAGGCAACATTATCGCTGTCAGCGCGGGACTTAAAGGTTTGTCTAATTTATTTACTATCTGCTGCATCGACAAGAAAAGATTCTACTCCCTTCTCAAGGTCGGTATTCGTGTTCAAAGTGTTTTAAAAAAACCGTTAAAACTATCACTATAAAAACTTCCCATCTATGTGTTTGTTACCATAATTAATAATATTAATAAATAATATTTAAAATAATATTTTTAATATTGCACACACATCTCACACACGGCGGCGGTCTGATCCCAAACTAGGCAGAGCCTGTACTATGGTAACCAGACTGCTAATAAACATACTTATATATTTCTAAATACATACATATTATAGATAAAGTACACCCAGACACAGAACAAATGACCATGCTCATTACACAATTATTTGTTCTGGGTGGGAATCGAACCCACGACCTCTGGCGTAGCAGTCAGGGTCACTAACCACTAGACCAACAGGCCCGTCAATTAATGTTTTATACTTGCTATTATAAATATGTTTATAAGTCGAAAAGAAAAAATAAAAACCTTCCTACACTCTAAAAGACGCATAAATCCATACTTATTTTGTAAATGTGAAGGTGAGTTTGTTTGTTTGTTACGATTTCACGCCTAAATCTATCAACAGATTTTATTAATTACTAGCTGAGACCCGCGGTGTTACCCGCGTTTTTTGTTATAACCGCGGGCAACGCCGCGGGGCGAAGCTAGTCTAAAAAAAGTAGCCTAAGTTACTCCTTATGTCATCAGCTATCTGCGAGTGAAAGTCTCGTCGAAATCGGTCCAGCCGTTCCAGAGATTACCCGGAACAAACAAACAGACAGACAGACAGATAGACAGACAGACAGACAAAAATTGTAAAAAATGTTATTTTGGCATATGTACAGTGTAAACATACATATGCATTTACTAAAAAGCGGTTATTTTAATATTACAAACAGACACTCCAATTTTATTTTTTTGTATAGATATAGATAGAACCATAAAATCACCATGAAAGAAGCATGCAGGTGTACATGGGCGGCAATAGTCACTTAGTCTGCTGGTTTGCCCCCTATATGATAAAAAAATGAATGGGGGGAGGGGGCAAAGCAAACGGGTCTCCTGTTGGTCTCTTACCAACAGGAGACCCGTTTGCTTTGCCCCCTCCCCCTATTCATTTTTTTCCCACCACCGTCGCCCATAAACACCTGCAACTCAAGGGTTATAAGTGCGTTGTGCGTTTCAACTCTTCAAGTCCCCCTCTCCTAGAAACTGAGGAAGGTGACCCTCGGCTCCGGCAAACTCTCAGACAGAAAGAGAAGAATATAATTATACTAATTCTTGTAAAGGTCACGTGATTGATTACTTTATTCGGTTATATTATTGTTGTTTTTAGGTAACTTTATAAATCCTTAGTCGCAAAGTACACCCAGGCTTAGAACAACGTTTTGTTGATCACACAAAGTGTCGGCCCTTGTGGGAATCGAACCAACAACACTCAATTATTTATGAAGTATTTGATAGTATACTATTCTAGATATATCCTGGTTTCCTGGATTCTCTTTATGGTACTCCTTTTGTAATATACAAAACTTTCAAAAAAGCAATACTTGATCCAACATAAAAATAAAATTATTGAAACATATACATCATATGATGATGAGCATCATCCCCGAAGTGGTAGTCAAAGGCCCTTTATATTCTACTAGCTTTTGCCCGCGGCTCCGACCGCGTTTATGTCGTGTGGTTATCGCGGTAGCCTATGTTACTCGCTGATAATGTAGCTTTTATTTGGTGAAAGATTTTTTAAAACCGGTTCAGTGGTTTAGGCGTGAAAGCGTAACAAGTTTGTATTAGCCGTTAATTGTTAATAAAGAACATATCTTAAGTAATTAGTAATTTCATAATATTTTTTTATAGCTGAAGCCCTAGAAAGACTGTCCACATCTATTACCGACTCCATATCTGAGGGCCTGGTGTCTGTTGGGAGACGCTTATCGAGACAGGGCACTGGTTTAGTTGAAGATACACTGGCAAACTCCGATTATGCTGGATTGGGCGTGGTTAGTACGAAAGTCTTGTACTTAATTGTGTAGAATAGTTCAGGAACTTTCTTTGTATAACTAAAAATGTAAACTAAAAGGGAAGGCTAAAAATTACTTCTGAAAATACTGAATATTCACATCACATCACATCAACAGCCTTTAACAGTCCACTGCTGGACATAAGCCTCTCCTTAGAGGTTTTGGCCTACTATACCACGCTGGCCAGACGGGTTGGTATAGGGTTTGTATAAAGTTTTCCTTCTCTCTGCAGTGCTGTAGTTCTGCGTAGTTTTTTCCCTTAGTCGGCTCTTACGACACCCACGAGATGAATAGGGGTGGTGACACTCTGTATTCTTAATCCGTCACCACACGGACTGAATATTGACTACTTATTATCTTAACTATCTGTCAAAACTAGATCCCTGAGGACGATACGTCAGGTGAAATACGCAGAGTAGGACAAAGACGACTAGATACAAGACCGCATTACAGGTAAGCATCATAAAAATACATATTAACATACAAAACAAAATCGAGATAGTCTCCTTCTAAAATACGAAATCAATTCGGAGAATAACTTAGCTTACTTAAATAATAAATTATGTAAATAGGTAAATAATAGTAAATGAAGAATCAATGCCCATGTACAGGCTCCTGTCCGTCACATTGTGGAAACGTACAACACACACTTTGCCAATGTTGACATTTTGGCACAGTCGCACACAAAATTCAAAATTGCAACAACTCAAATCTTTAAAACATCGCATTAGACTTTATTTCCACAATGTATATAAATTTAAATATATATATAAATATTTTTTTTTTAATACATGCGCACGATTTACAATTCAGATTCAGGTGGTAGAAGATTGAGGGGGGAAGTGTTCTTCCCCTGGGATAGGGCCTGATTAGGCATGGTGTTAAATTGGTGTGTGCACGTTCACTTAATAGATTATTTACTCTAATTTTAAATTATCTATTGCCTAACGTGTACCTATTACATGACCCATCAAACAAAACAAAACAACAGCCCCAAACAACAGAATCCCTAAACAGCATATATATTAGATAACCAAAATCAATAGTGATTGGTATTGGAGACAGAGCATTCATACAAAACTTAAACATAAAACTCACTAGTGCTATACCAACACTGTGTGACACTACATATTTCATTGTGACATCCTCATCATCTTCTTTCCCTTTTCTCATATCTATTTGAGGTCTGCGCAATGATTTTTCTTCTTCCATTCTCCTCTATAACTCGTCAGTTTACTGCTTACTGTCTTTTTCAGCCATATTCATCTCTACTCTCTCTACTCTTATGTCTATCAATATCCAAACGTAAAACTTTCTTCACTACATTTTGGACATCTTTACGCATCACAGTCCATGCCAGGAAAACATTTTTCTTCTCAACTTATCATCCCCTGACGCTACTTTTAGGCTTCCTCGAATGTATTCATATAATATCAAGGTGTAAAAAGAATATCCCTAGTAGAATATCCCTAATACTAACAAATAACATGGGCCGTCTGGAGAACCGAAAGTAACACAATGAACTCAGTTCTCATTTCCGAGTCAAGCCGTAACTATACCCTAATTCCTGGTATCCTATGAACACTCCAAAAGGTTTCTGAGTTTCTAGAAGGGGAAACACTGGCTTTACCAGCCAGCAGAATCCAAAAGCATAATGGACTGACTATGCGTAGAAACTTGGAAAAAACCCTCCTCCAATATCCATTCACACATTCAAGCCTATATATTCGAAGGTTAAGGCAGTCTCGTATTAAATGCCCACATTTTCGTGAATACAGTTCGGTCAGGCTAGTATAATATAAAACAAGGCCCAATGGTTTCAACTGTGCACTTCGGAAATTAGATATAGAAGGTGATATGAACAGAGGAAGTCAGATAAGAGAGGAAAACAATGGAAGATTTCTATTGGTTCTCATTTTTTTCTGAATTAGTAGTAACTAACACTGATGGATTTAGAGTTGTGTACCTGTCATTCGAACTTGTTCTATTTTTACTATTTTACCCTAAAACTCTTAATTATAACTTAAAATTTACTTTCCAGGCTCGTCTATACACCACGAGTGTACCAAAGACCGCATGGGACTATCCGAATCGAGTAAAATAAAATACAAAATAAACAGTGAATGTAAATAAAACTAGTAATAAATATTAAGTTATAATATTAAAAATACGAGCCTCATTTACTAATTATGCCGTATGCCGCTATTTACTGTGTGTCTGCCAATATTTTTGTGTCTTTTGAGAACTCTCCAACGACCTATCCCTTAATACAATCCCAATCGATATCAGAAATGCTAAAGTTCGTTAGATCGTTTGTTTGTTACCATTTTACACTCAACTGATAATCGTTAAATTGTTCATTTACATGACCAGTGGTAATTCAGATAAAAATAAGCAAAAAGTTATTTTTTCCTTTCCTTTCCACTTCACGGGCATAACGGCAAAGAAAAATACAAACATTTATCCCGTGAGTGTCGTTAGAGCTAGCTAAGAGAGCAAACTACGTAAGGCACTGCAAAGAGATGACTTGAAACAAACTCTATACCAACCCATTTTGTCACCGCCAGCAATGATTGCTGCTATGCTGGCAGGTGAGGAGGGATGGGGCACAGTGGTTTCTTTCTATGAAGCTGTCATACTCCAGAAAGAGACCGCTGAATGTACATAACTGTCCCGAGCGTAGAGGACGTCGACGACGATACCAGCCCCCAAAAGGGGGCCGCCAGAGAGTGGGGACCTCTGGTGGAGAGACTGCTGCGGTAGGGAATAGGATGGTGGATTGCATTAAGACGCAATTGGGTGCCACGCCGCTATTGAGGGGGGGAGGTGTTTTTCCCCTGGGATAGGGCCTGATTAGGCATGGTGTCAATTCAGGGAGGACCTGAAATAAAAATATATATATAATAAGGTCAAGGTCCTTCCAGAGTAAGTCACCTAAAGCGTAAATAGACTGAAGCTTAAACATTTAAAATAACATCTGAGATTCGTCTTTTTCTGTGTAAATTTATATGTTATACCAAAACCAATGTTTTTGTGCGTACTGTATGCTCTGCCACACAGGCCGTGGACTGTGCCGCCTGATAAGCAGGCGACTACACCATGGAGTTTGGGGACCCTAATCACACCGCGCCACCGTCTCAGAGGGAACGACTAAAACAACAAATGATTAATTTAGTATTTTATTCTACCATAAGAGGATCCCAATATAGATCTCTGGTCTCTTTTAACTTATTGGAGACTGTCTTGCGTGTATCTTTTATCGAAGCTTGGAAATTTTTCCACCACTTTCTTACTCGTTTTTGGGCTAATTTTCTTGTAGCCTGATATGCGTGCACTAAAAAAAATAACAAATATAAAAAAAAAAATTACTATTCTTATAGCTACATACTCTTATATTCTGTAGTGTAGCTGAGAATAGTAAAGGCGTAAAAAAAACAAAACAACATACACATTTGCATTTATAGTTTCATTTAAGCTATACCTGTTTGGTTCACGAGCGATTTTGCTCTCATTCCTTCATTTTCTACAAAAGTGACCATTCGCTTGACTGCGTGTGCAGGTTTATCATACCAGAGTACGTTCATAGCTTTTCTTAGAATGGGTGGCAACTTGCGGGAACACGTTTCTTCGTACAAAACGATGTTACACACAATCTAAAAAGAAAAAAATCCTTGATCCTTAATGTGTTTTGATCTCGTAAAGTATAAAACAAGCTCGCGGTCTATCTGAATGCAGAGTGCGTGTTTAAAATATATTAAGATTTCGAAGTAATCGAGACCTCGCTCATACAGTAACCTTTCTACTATTCGCATATTAGGCAAATTGTCGTAAACGGTATTCCAACAATTAAGTTTAATTCGCTATGACAACAAAAACAACGAAATTATCAAGAAATCATACACAAAAAAACTTCATCATAATAATATGTAGATATTATTATGTTCACACGACACTTCGGCACTTACAAAAAATATTAAACGTTGTAACAGCATCTTGATGCAACACTAAACAATAACCATGAGTAGATCTCAGTAGCCTAGTAAAGAATGCCCTACTGTTTAGATTACAATCGAAATTATAATTCTGTATATATGTTGTCAGCTCTACAGCATACTGTTACTTAGGATAACAATTCTAGTATTTTATTTACTTTTGCTAGAGATGAGTAGTCATTCAATAAAGAGAATATAAACATAAATATCAATAGCTCGCATTATGCAATCATTAAACGTGCTACAATTAGAATCATAATAATAGCAGTTTATAAAACGAGGTTTGATAATAGGTTGACCATGTACTTTTATTGTTTTCTTTTCTTTTTAAAAGACAACGCCCGCGCTAGAAGTCCCTCGCGACACAGGATATACTGTGTTGCGAGGGACTTTACAAACCTTCATGAAATGGACACAAAGAACACCCAGACTCAGAACAACAATTGTTGACACGGATATGGATCACACAAATTGTTGACTAATGTGGGGATCGAACCCACTACACTCAGCGCAGTAGGAAGGTGACCGCTTAAACCACTACATGATCCGTGTAGGAACCAGCAGTACTTTTACTTTTCTGAAGTTAACGGGTGGACAATGAATAGCCATTAATCAAATCATCAACAACAGTTGGAAAAAAATGTGTTTAATGTAGATAGATAACACTTTATTTGTACAGAGATAATAAAACAAAATACAGAGCATGACAAAGGAGGTGAGATGTATATACATAGCTATACTATTATTACTAGTAGTATTACTAGTATTCTTATTAACTACTCCAGCTAAGCTATACGCTAGTGTTCGAAGTGGATTCACGTCACTAGTATACTGTACTGTACTAACTTATTACACTACCGCCGCTTTAATAAAACAAAGGATAAGATCATTCTTTAACAAATTGTATCAAGTATTACCAATTATACCAAGTTCTTTAGAACAGAATTTTGTTTCAGGAAGGTTGAAACAGTATGCATTTTGCTGCCTTGAGCAATTTCGCAGGCACTTCACAATCTCTCCCCAATTGTGATGACTTCAAGTTTTTACTTTTTTTTAGTTTTAAGATATATTTTGATAGTTTTGTTGATGATACTACCCAAATACTAACATATACATTACATACAATCAACAAATGACTATCAACTGATGAAAGAACTTTGAATGTCCCTTCTCTGTTTCTCTGGAGCAAAATGGAGCATTCGTGAAAATAGAGTAAGTGTAATTCCTATTTAAACAAAATTCTGATACAGTGTCACTTTATAGCAACCCAAAGTTAATCATTTGATTCATTGTTTCTTTAATTGTAAATGGTCTCCAATTATCATGCTGTCATGTTGCTTTCACATTGAGTTTTAACAATTCAAGTCAATATAAAAACAATGTCCTTATATTTAAATATCCATATATATAGGGTTAATGGTTAATCGACTTTACAGACGACGATACTTTAAGGAGTTGTAGTTGCCATCATTTCTGATAGACTTCACTATGCAATACCATATCCTAAACCGAACCATTTTCAGATGGACTTGGACTTTTAAGATTTTTTATAAAAGTTGCCGAAATTTTCCCTAATTCAACTTTTTTTAAACTTCTATCCTGTAATTATTTTTTTTACAGTTTTTGTATCGTTGGTACGATGTTTCATTATTTCCGTCATTAAAATTGTAATTAACTTAATAAACTGGACCGAAGTAGGTGGTTGATTATAGCAAACAGGAATAAATTAGTAAAGATATATTTTTTAACCAAAATATATACCAGACTTTTACAAAAATATCTGTGACAGTTAAAAAACATGTACGTATTATCAGCTATCTGATAATGTAAAATAGTCTAGGATAGTATCAGAATTCATACAAAAGAAATTTAGCGTACAACCCGGTAGTAGCTAGTTAAAAAGTTAGCTAGTATTTTTGGTCTGTATCGTTTTCTACATACATGTGACTAGTACCGAATTACTATTACCCACTAGACTTTGGTTTGCGATTCTGATACTGTTGAAGATGATGGCCTATACCAACGAGGAATATGTTTTTATTTTGATTTCCTACGGATACTGCCAATGTGTATCTGCACGGGTTCATGGATGTATGCATAGCAGCTAACCTGAGCCTCAATTCTGCAATTTAAGCTTAACTCCAAAATATCGGTATTCTACTAACATAAATTCACAGTGTCAATAGACTGTCGATTATAGTAATATAAGTCATCAATGGTGTATGATATCCACAACATAGCGACACCTGGAAAATTAAATATGTACTTTTATTACAAATTTAAAATGTACCGTTTACAAAACTATAACAAAGACATCGACGACGTTTGTATCAGTGACAAGTCATAGCGGAGCCATTGATCTTACATAGTAGAATACGAAAAGTGTAAAATTATTTCGATGACATTCCATCGACAGTCTATTGATACAATATCAGCAGAATTGAGGCCCCGGTCGGAGTGTCGGATGTTGTTGGGTTGGACGGAGCCTATCGACGACTTAGAGAGACTGGCTGTGTTTCCAGTGTGACGTTCTGATCTGGCTAGATCACGTTTCACTGATGAAGATAACGAAGAAGACAATAAGATAGTTCAACGAATTAGATTGGATCCAACAGCTAAAACTAAGACTCTCAGTAGAAAGTCGAGTGTGCTGTAAAAATTGCGGGCCTATACACATATCACTTTTTCTTTTTTCCATTATCCTTTGAAGATGTTGGATTTCTGCAGATTTATGCTTCACGTAGATTTAGAAACCCTGTTATTTTATTTCTGAGACATTTCATGGACATGAGTCCAAATTTAATAAAAAAAATGAGTAGGTACTTAAGTTCTTAAAAAATTGTATTAGGCAAAATTTCGGCATTTTTCAGAAAAATGAAAATGGTTAGGTTTAGAATATAGTATTTCATAGTGAAATTTATTATTAATAATTGCCACTAAAACATCTTAAACTATCAAGGTCGACTTAACCAATAAACCTATACCTATAAATTCCACACGGCATCTCACATTTATAAATCCGAATTCCAAGTTATGAAAGTTTGGATTCCAGTGTTATACTTTTAATATATTACAAATATTTACAATTAAAATAGTGATTTATAAAATTAATAATAAAATAATCAAGAGTAACTCTAAAACTATTAGTTTACCTTTATCTTTGGTTATTTAAGAAAACAAAATAGTGTACGTTTTGTTTTCTTAAATATTCTTATTGAACTATAAATAGTGAACCATTTTTAGTTATAACTATAACCGGTATCATAGTTACCTTCAATACCCGACTGACTTTTGCCTCTCAGTTTACCAATGACCAAAACATAAGGTTGTATTTACTGAGTTTTTCCAACACTTTCTTTCTTTTATTATTTACAACTACACGCAGATCTTCCCACCAATTAATTACTCGTTGCCGGGCTAAAGATTTAGATTTCCGAAAATCATGCACTAAAAAAAATTAAACAATGTTATATATGAATTTATATATTAAATCTATCGACATAAACTTTTCAATTAACCAAACCAATTTCGTATACAAATAACGCAAAAAAGTAGGTCCTTTTGCTTTTATTGTAAAAAATTCCGTGTAGTGATGGGTAAGAATAGGGAATGTTACCATCCATACTCATCCAATGGGTGTCGTAAGCGCGGACTAAGGGAGCAAACTGAAGGAACACTATATCAACCAGTCTGACCAGTGTGGTATAGTAGGCCAAAACCTCTTTTCTAAGGAGAGGAGTGAGGGTGTCCAAATAATGAAAAATATCTTTTGTAGCTTTGACGTTTTTGAACATATTATTTTTAAGATTATTACCACACTAGTTTTTGGCCTGTAAATATTTCACCAGATTTTGTCACTTACTCACAAACGTACACAGATGAATATATATACCTACCTTTTTTGCAGAACCAACTATTGCTATATCCATAATCATAAGCTGATCTTTCGTTAAAATACATCGATCTGTTTTTCAATAATATATTAGCCATTTTTTGTGTGACACCTGGATCCTCGAATTTTCCCAATGTTGGTAAATGTAAAACGGTGTAACATGTAACCTGTAATAATAAACATATGTAACATATACAGAAGAGAGAAGAGGATAAAAGTGAGCTCACATTACTAGACAGTGGTTACCTACTGGTATCAACCACGATTGCCACCGGAATGTCCGAAATATTGAGAGGCTTCAGTAAAGACTCCTAACAAATCTAAAATTAAAATATGTAAGAAGATGATTTAGTTCTAAACTAAAAAAATATGGAAAGAATTTAATCTCTGTTAAACTTTACAAATATCTGTGATAATCTTCGGGTGTCTTCTTGGAAGACATTAAAAGAGATTTACGTCCGATAGTCGATGCGATAATATATCTGATATTCCCAAAAAAAGGAGAAATATAAGCATGTCACCTTTATTCATTGCGGCGACTTACGGCGACTTACACTTAAACAAAATAGAAAAAATGTTTTCAAAACTGAATAAGTAAACCTCAATTGATAAATATCAAATATTGACACAAAGGTACTACAATAAGATATATTAGATTAGATAATATATCTTAAAAGATAGATATATCTTAGATATATCTTAAAAGCTGACATGATAGACAACAACAGATTTCATGACCTCTGGGGTTTATTTAAATACTTTAGGTAATTGTTAGTATCGAATTCCACCCTTCTTATCTATCTATCCTTTCCTTCTTTCGGGAATATGTGTAGGTGTGAGTAGCGAAGAATATCATGAAATCTCGTGAACAGTTTTATGGGCAACTTTTCCTTTGATCTCATGTGTCTAGCTATCATTATCATTTATTTTAACACTTTTTTAAGTGTCCACCACTTTTCAATCCTCCCCTATCCTGAATGATAGGTGAGGATTGAAAAGTGGTACTCACTCACTGATACTCAAGATATGAAGCTAAATGAAACAAGTCCCTGAAGTATATCAATTGTTATTAGGTGAAAGGAAATCAACGTATCTAAAATCTTACCCG